TAGTTTTGCTAGCTGTAACATTCAACAATATTCTACCCTTCACCAAGAGTGAATTGCATGTTTTTGTTGTTGTTGTTATTGTTACTTTTGGAAAATACACAGAAAAAAATTCTTATTTTCCCAAACTTTCCAACCCTTTTCATATTGGGTAAACTTAACATGGGTTGATACAAAAAAGCTTCAAAATCTTCATGGGAAATAAACTGGCTACACAAAGCATGATGGGGTGGATGGAAAATTTTCAGAGCAAGTTAAGGCGAGGGAACAAGATTACTTTAGAAAAACATGTCACGAGTGCTGCTACAGTGGCTCATTTAAAACTAAAGCTTTGAAGGTAATTATGATGGAGATATTAAAAATGTTTTTTTGGTGGAAGCATTCCAGGGAATTAGAAGGATTAAATAAATAGCTTTGGCCAGTTTGCCAGTATTTGCCATAGGAAGCTGATTATGAAATGCTCAAAGGAAACTGAGGAAGCACAGCTATTTCTTTTCTCATGCATGGAACCATGGAGATGTGATGCCCTATGGTGCTCCTATTTCATGACCCAAGAAAACTCCCCGAGAGTGAAATACTTTAGTTAAGTAGCTCTCTGGTACATGACAGAATTTTTATGTGTCCTGACTGGATATTTTCTATTAGTTTCCACAGCCACATGCTTTACTATAAATTGCATACACTATCAGTAGAGTACATATCCGTTACAATTCTCATCCATTATTACAAATAATAATAGAATAGAAACTAGCTTCTCATCAATTTCCTATGGTTGTTTAGCCTCTCATTTTCTTCTTTGTGATAGGGTCATCATATTTACTTCATTAAGCACATAAATGCCCTAGTCTTCTCTGATTCCTCTTGGAGTTAAAACATGATTTTGGGACTGCATGGTCTTGTACAAAATATATTTGCAGCATCATCTTTCAAAATCTGTCCTGAGCATTGTCTCATGATTTTATAGCTAGTCTGACATCACTTGTGGTTTGAATGAACTTTTTCTTATCTCATTGTAATATTTATCTTTTGTTTGGCACTAGTAAGCAAGCTACTTAAAAACCCAAAATAAATTAGTGGGTTGTAATTGATTTTTATGTTCTTTCAATAGATATGTCATATAAACCATTAAACAAGCAGCCACAACAATTAAAATTAATGCATGGGTTATTTTTCAGAAGTGAACCATTTGGCTCCGTGTGTCATGAACATTCACCCCCCTTGCTTTTCATATTTTGCATTCAGATACCTGGGACAAATAATAACTAGTAGCTCATTCTAAAATGTAGCAAAGAGTGTGTTCTAATTATGCTAATCCATATTTAATCATCTGGTATGCGGATAAAGAGATAAACCTGGTTTTTAAGGTACTCTCAACTTTCTCTTTAGTCATATGTTATTAAGAGTAAAAGTTGAGTTTGGAAAAACGTATTTATCAATATCTACCTCTTGCCCACCACGTTTTGAAGTAAACCTGACGTATCTATGACACACATTGACCAGAAATATCTGCATTAGATAGTTTCCGTGCATTAGACATCATGAATCGTATCACAGATACATTTATTTCACATGAAAGAAAATTGTAGTTATCACATTTTTAAAGAAATCAATTTCTAGTTTATCCTACTAATCTCTTTTTCCCTTTCAGGAGTTGGAATTTTCAAATTTATTTGCTGTTCTTCACTGCATTCATTCATTTTTTGCTGCCAAAGTGGCTTGTCTGGACCCTCTATTTTTAGGCAGTCAGGCGACAGCTTCTGGCGCTGCAGGCTCTGCAACCATGAGCAAAGCCAAGTACACGGCTTGACGGGCAGCCGTGACTGTGGAAACTGAACACAGCCCTCCCGTTACACCCTGAAACCCCAATATCTCCCAGTTTGCAGTGGCGTCAGATTAAAATCTCACCGGAAAACGGAGGTGGTGGGCCAGCTCAGAACACTCCTCTTCTGGAGAGCATCTGTGAATCCTTTGTCACTCAGACGCTTTTTACCAGCACGTACACCGCTTTCACCCAAAGTGGAGACAAAAGAATGAACGAGGGGAAGAAGTATGTAAATAATATAAAAATTGTAAGCTACCTATAAATAAAAACACCCAATTAAATGGTTATTTCTGTATTTTAGATTATTTTGTATGACAAACAGATGTTGGGCAGGATCAGGAACTATCGCCCTTCCCTTGTATTAGGAGGGATATAGGAGAGACCACGAAATTGGCCTGGGGCAGCCAGGAGCTCGCGCGACCGCTCGCTCACCCAGGGACAGCGCACTTCAGTTTGTGTTTGTAAATTTCCCCTTGTGTCCCCCTCCTCACATGACAAGATACTGGCCCTCCAGTTTTGTTTAACTTACTGTAAAATACTCTGGAAAAAAATGCAAAAGGATAATTATGTTGACTTATGACACATATCCTGTGAAATGGAATTCTCCCTTGGATCACAGTTACTGAAATGTTTCATTAGCTGCCGAGGTCAACCAAATATTAATTTAATTACAAATAGTGGAAACTTTCATGAACCTCTTGTCCCTGCCTTCATTTAAAAAAAATATCTAAATTTTACCTAAGGAGATTTACTATCACACTTAAGTTTCTTAAATTTTCAATGACACTCCAAAAAAGTTTGTGTAGAAAATAATATCAAAAAATAGTATTGTGAGAAAAAATTCTTCGTAATTCTAAATCTGCCAGTCATGACCAGTCTCAAAGCTATTATTTACATTGGCTAAGGGGCGTCTTTCCCTTTAGTAATATTTCATGAGGTGATATTTGAAAATAAAGTCTATAATCTATATCTTACCTTGAAAGTGATTAAATAATGGCAACTTGTGCAGGTTATTTTAGACACCTTGCTTCCAGAAGGTTCCAGTGCAGGAACATTCAGTGAGGGGCTTAGCTACCAGGTATTATGTAACTATGCGTGCAGTGCAGAAACCTCTGTCTTTCTCTACAGCTTTATTGAGATCTGCTTTTAAACAACCAACTCCCTATTAGAAAAAAAGAAAAAAACTTACTTTTTATTGACCCCTATGGCTCCCAACTAAACCAAACATTGAAGGTTTCCTTGTGACATTGACCAAGTATCTAATAAAGTCGTTCAATTTTCAGTTTTCAAATTAAGAGGAAAAAGTCATTCAAAAAGGAAGCAAAATTATTGTACCATTAAATCAAGAAAATTAACATTAAGCCATTTTCATAATTTCTATAATTAATTCATTTTACATCAGATTAATCCTTAAACATATCAAATTAAAAAGAAACAGTGGTTTATAACTGTACCTGGGAAAGTATTCAGTTGAATATGAGGTACCTTATCAAAGGAACTGTGACAAATTGGACAATGAACAGTTTCAATTTAATTTATTTTAACCATAAAACTAAATACACATCTATAATTAGGCTAGCATGTTGGAATTATTGCTCAGGATTTTGATCAAATACAAGAGTCATAAAATTAGAATTCCACCAAAGGGGAGGAGAATAGTTGCAGGAGTTGTATATGTCCACGTTGGGATTGTAAGCAGTGGCAGGAAGTACATTAGAGGGTCTCTGCTATTAACCACAATTAAATCTCATTGTGCCTCGTATTGGAGTGACATCAGTATGTCTATGAGGTGATGATTTAGTCTGAAAACAATATGACATGAGCTAGTTATCCAACATCAAAGAAAAAAATAAAAAATTACATACCTGTAATAAAATTATTTATAAAATTAATATCAAATTTTGTAAAAATTCTATTTTAAAATAAAACAATCCTATTTACTTAATTATGCATTTTGTTGTATTATAAATATTTAGCCTGTGCTCACGTGTATGATGGAGGAAAAGGTGAACAGTGAGATATGTATGACTATATGTATCTCTTTGTAGAATATCTGCCAACACACATATATGCATATATGTGTGTATATATAAATATAATAAAATGCTGAGTATTAATTATATTAAAAGAATCAGTTTCATATACATAAATTTAATATACTTTAAATTACATTGTAAATTATAGCTTGATCAAAACTTAATGTGATTATTTTTGATACTATTAATAAAAGCCAATAGGCCTAAACTACTATTTAACATGATTAGTGGAACAGCCATCATGTAGGAAAACATTCTCCTTTTCATCAGTTTAGCAATTAGTTTCTGATGCTTTTCTTTACAATGTGATGATTAGCTATTGTTATTTGTTACCACTTGGATTATTTGAATGAGAAAGTTTAGAATAAAACAAAAATACTTATAAATTTCTATTTCTCATGTAATTTAGGTTTAGATGCATGAGATTTATTCATCAAATCCTAGCTCATACACTGAACACATTTTAACAGCTGAATGGTTAATTAATGTGTTAACCCCTCCAGTGCCTTGGGATGGGAGTGTGTGTGTGTGAGTGTGTGTGTGTGTGTGTTATCATTAAAGGGTCCATTACAGTGTACATATTACAGGTTATGGGGGGGAAATTATAGGTATTTAGGTCAGAGAATGGAGTTAAAAATCATTTGAAAACTCTTAACTACTATAATAATGTTTTTTGCCAGATAAAGAATAGCAGTTCATTTAAGCTGAAGTATATTACAGCAGGGGCATTTTTAATTTGTTATATTGCAA